TAGCCACAACCTTTTCCAAGATCTTGGAGATGAACGGAAGTTTAGAGATGGGTCTGAAGCTGTTATGGAGAGAGGGGTCGAGACTCGGTTTTTTAAGAAGCGGGTGGATTACAGCGTTCTTAAAGTAAGCAGGGACCTGACCAGAAACCAGAGAAGCATTAATTATAGAGAGCACGCTGGGACCGATGGACTGAGAAGCACTTTTAAACAAAGATGAGGGTAAGATGTGGAGGGGGCATGCAGAGGTCTTCATAGAGTTAACTAGTTTGGTTAACTCAGGCAAAGAAACAGGAGCAAAGCTATCTAGGATGATGGGCCTGGTTGGAGTCGGGAGAGGCGGCGATAAGGCTGAAGGAGAGATGCTAGATCTGACCTTATTGACTTTGTCCACAAAGAAAGACAGAAAGTTCTCACAGTCTGCAACAGAGTGGATGGAGGCTGTAGGAGAGGCAGGAGAGACGATGCTGCTGATGGTGTTAAACAGCACCTTGGGGTTCCCTTTGCTCTGGGACACCAGGTTGGAGAAATAGGAAACCCTAGCGTCTCTGGCTGCAGAGTTAAAGGATGTCAGAAGATCCTTTAGGTGCAGCAGATGGATGTTTAGATGGGTTTTCTTCCACAAACGCTCAATTTTTCTGCACTGGCGCTTCAGGCTGCGAAGGCTGTCATTAAACCAGGGAGTAGGGTTCACTGCAGGAACTGATCTGGTTCTGACAGGACAGATGTTGTCCAGAATGGAGAGGCAGTGCTCGTTAAACTGAGAAGTTAAGGACTCTGGGTCATTATCAGAAGAACAGGGTGGATCAAAAGCAGCAGAAAAATTGCTAGCTGTGCTCTCATTAAGAAAACGAGAACTAACCATACGGCGAGCAGGAGGTGAGGACGCAGAAACTGACAAGTTAAAGAAAATGCAATGGTGATCTGAAATATAAACGTCCTCAGGACAAACACTGTCAGCATTTAGACTCAGGGTAAAAACAAGGTCTAGAGTGTGCCCCCTGGTGTGTGTGGGGCCAGAAACATGCTGGGTAAAGCTGAAGGAGTCCATAAAGCTGGAGAAATTCATGGCAAAGTGATCGGAGGGATCATCAACATGGATGTTAAAGTCACCAACAACCACCAGTCTGGACAGCTTCACAGTGGAGGATAGAAAGTCACTAAACTCCTGAAGGAAAGAACTGTTTGGACCAGGTGGACGATAGACCACCTCGTCCAAACAGGTGGGTTACACCACCAAACAGTTCCCAAACAGTTCCTAGCACGGCCGTGTCTGCAGCTCAGTAACACTAGGAAAACTCAGAGTGAACAGAAAGACAAGTGAAACCAGTAACCTGTCCTGTACTTTAACAGTCTAATAGAAGATCTTTGATACGTACAGAATTCTTTGCATAATGCATCAGACAAAAATCCGTCCTTGTCATATCTGACTTACTAATTTTCCTCTTTATCCATTTTCACCTTGCTTGTACCGCCACATCTTTAAAGGAGACGGGATCGGGATGCACAGGCAGGCTTCTCTGGTGAACGCTGGAGGACCTGTAAGATGTTGCGCTCTTCAGGACAAGTTAAAGGGACCAGGCCCAGCTGATGCCGCTGACAATACCTGCCTTGTTGCAGGGAGGCCAGATGACTGTTTCATGTTTCTGTCATCCTAACAAGGAGTTGCCATTAGCAGGAGGGGGCCTGCAGCACTCTACACTAATGATTACTTTGAACTGTGAAACGAGCATCATTATCTTGTTTCAAAAAAGGAAAGGATGAAAGCTTTCTGCTTCAGCAAGACATGGGAGGAAGAACAGTGATGAGTGAGTGATTTACAAAGCCTTGCACCTTAGGGAGAGGATGGGAGAGGGATCATTGTTCATGTTTAATCAAACAAACAAACTATTCGTTTGATTGAAATAGATCTAATTGGAATCATTTACTTTAAACCCTCTTATTGCTTGAACTGAAGGACCTGGAGCACAAAATGCCGTTGTGTGGAATGATGTAAACTGTTACCCTGGTGGTTGTCCAGCAAAGTAAGCTTTTGTACACTGTTATACTAATCCACACCAAATAGAGCCTCGAGATAAGTGTCTTCATCAGAAACCCGTCATATCCAGTCCTATACGTGTCAAATTCAAAATGAAGTTCGATTTACCGGTCGATCTACGTTCCTACCCTCACCTGTGCTCGCGAGCTTTGAGTAGTGACCGAAAGAACGAGATCGCGAATGTAAGCGAACAAAAATGAGTTTTCTCCGCAGGGTGGCTGGGCTCTCCCTAAGAGAAAGGGTGAAGCTCAGTCATCCGGGAGGGGCTTGGAGTAGATCCGCTGCTCCTCCGCATTGAGAGGAGCCAGTTGAGGTGGCTCTGGTATCTGGTCAGGATGGCTCCTGGACGTCTCCCTGGTGAGCTTTTCCGGGCACGTCCAACTGAGAGGAGACCCAAAGGAAGAAGACACGCTGGAGGGACTACGTCTCTCAGAGAACGCCTTGGGATTCCCCCAGAGGAGCTGACCCAAGTGGCTGGGGAGCGGCAAGTCTGGGCCTCTGCTTAAGCTGCTGCCCCCGGATGAGCGGAGGAAAACGGATGAATGGAATTCCAAATAAAGTTCCTCCATGTATTACGCGTGATTGTCATGAGCCGGGGTGAGTACTCCTCATTCACTTAACATCTCTGAGTCTCTTGCCAGGAGAGGGAGTGCCACCAGCTGTCCCTGATCTGCAACCAGCGGGGTGCTTCCTACATGAGGTGGATGGAGGACACAATTCAACACCGGAAGATTGCCACAGCTTGGTAGTACCCAGCCACGCATGTTCTCTAGGATCTCTAGGATTCATCTTTGCTGGTAGTGTTTTGCTCTAGGATTTAGAGTTTTGGATTTTACTCACCTCCAGGATTCCAGTGTTTCCCTCTGGACGCTGAGCCATTTGGATACTCACCTCAGAACTCCTGGGTTTGGAAACAGAACCTCCAGGACCCACTCACCGTTCTCCGTAACGACTCACCGGACATTTCGGCTCAGTGTCTCCCATCCACCAGGACGCTCTGCTCACCTCCACCTTTGCTCCCTCTCCTGCGCTTCTCCCGGCTCTCGACCTGCTCCCTCCTCCAGCCAGCTACTCTTACCTGACTGTAAGTCCCTTGAACCTACCTCAGGACATAAATGGACCTCAGGACATACCTGCAAATACTCACCAGTGTTCTCCCTCCTCCAGACGCAGAGCTCCCGTGTCTGTGAACAAACCACTGACACTCAGTGCACCTTCAGTTCTCTTGTTGTAAATAAACAGATTATTTTTTCTCCCATCTATGGTCTGAGTTGTGTCCTGCATGTGTTGGGTTGGGCGCCTTCCCCCAAACATGACAGTGATTATGAAATGTGATTATTGATCACTTATATGGTTAGTTTAAAAATGAGTCATCGTGTTTTTTTACATATTTACTGCTTCATGTGTATGAAAATACTATTAGTTCTGGTCTAATTTGCTTATTACAAATTACTATCAATTTAAATTATTAAAATTCATTCAACTAAACACGTAGCAGCAGTACGCCAGTCCATATGTTTTTTCATCATTTTTACTCTGCGCTCTCCTCTGAGTTGTCTCAGTATTTAATCTATCTTTTTTTTTCACTAAAAAAGTAATAAATAAATAAATAAATGGGGCTTTTCATGCTGCTACATCTATTCAGTCACCTCACGGCTGCAACATCGAAGAGTTGAAAGGTCCCAGAAAAGAGCGGAGAGCTGTATGAGTGAGAAGGTTTGGGTTCATGCACAAAGTGGAGGATTGGATATTCCCTAAGAAAACAGGAGCAGCCATTTGAGTGGAGGTCACGGACATTTCTATGCACGCCTTTAGAATAGGTGCGAGTGTTGGAGGAGAGAGGCCTCTCAAAACCAAATGAACTAAAAGCTCTTGGTTTGAATGCTCTTCAGCCCATATTCTCTGGCAAAGGTACTCCAGCTCGAATAAAGCACTCAGGTCAGAAGGGATGCTTTTTTAAAGCTTTTAGGCTAACTCTGATTCCCACTTAAAACCAACTTTAGTTCCCATTTCTGAACAAGAAAAATACCTTTTTTTATGTTTGAATTTAGAGCCGTTGTATCACACTGTGAAAGAGGCCTTTTGTGTGTGAGTGAAGTGTTTTAGACTTTTGGGAAACCAAATAGAAGACCAGACATTGAATGTTATTCAATTCCTAAAGTAAAAATGCACAATGTTCAAATATTCACATAGGCTATGGCCCAGGCTGAACACAACATTTATGCTATTTTGATGCAACTTGTGGTCAAAATTTCACCCTGAAAACGTCTTTCAGCAGAGCCAGCATACTATTTTATTTTAAAGATTAAAAACTAATAATATTTGACTTTCATGGATGAAACTAGAGGAAGACAATAGTAAATTACACAAAACAGTCTTGTTTCAGTTTATTTGGGGAATTTCCCCCCAACAACACAGACTTTTCAAAATTAACTGGATCTTAATCATTTAAAGAACTTGCCCCTTTCACTCAGAATATTTACATATCAGGACCGTGACGACAAATTTGTTTTCCCAATAAAAAAAAATAAAATAAAAGAAGAGAAAAACACTTCTGTCCCATGATTACTCCAGTTGCAGTACTTAAAAAACCCACTAGGTGACAGTTTTGATCTGCAGTGATTCATTCCATAGTTTACGTTTTACTCATTTGAGCCTTATCCGTCCATCTTTTTCTACAGTCGATAGTTGCGTCAGATAATCGTTTCTTTCTTTTGCTCTTGTCTGTTTTTAAAATAGAAAAAAATATTTATTCATTAGCAACTCCACAACTGCAAGGACCAAGCTATTTGTAGCAAAGGCAGTTGCATTGATATATTAGTATTTGTTTTTACACGCAATGAAACGTAATAACTGCTAAGAAGACAAAAAAGACTTCAAAATAAATCATTATTTTATTGTTAAAATAACCCTCGAAAGCTTTTGTTTTGTAGAAGACATATTTTTGAACAGCAGATGGCGCGCCAGGACGTGTCCGCCTTCTAATGATAACCACAGAAGAAGACAAGCTAGCGGTTACAATTTAAAGCTTTCGGTGACTTTTAAAATGCTTCTGCCGTCTGTTAGGCTGGGGTTGCTTCGCTGCAGGAGCTTGGCGCTGACTTCTACAAGAACTTACTACGCTGACCAAGTAGCTCGACTCGGCTCTCAGCCTGATAAACAGTCACCCGAATATCAGGTAGGTTAGCATGTTGCTAATGTTTGCTAGTCAAACCAAGTTTACCGCTAATCAGATGAAGCTGCATTCATCTGACACGAATATAAACAACATTGTTTACTCAAGTATTAGGTTGCAACTGATTTAGGCATTAATCTACGCTGAAACTGATTAGAGGTCAAACCACCAAATACTAAAGTTTTTAGCTTTATGAGGATAGTTTTTGTGTTTTGAGGACTTTTAAACTTATTTCCAGATCTATAAAAAGGTCACAGTCGTACAATGGCTTCTGATTTCCAAGGATTTATTTATAAAGAGAAAGTTGCATTTTTCATCACAGTAAAATACGTACAGCTGAAACAAATTCAGTGTAGGACTTTGGGTTTATTTTGGATATTGGTGTTAAAATAGCTTTAAGCTATATTTTCAGTTTTTAAGTATTCTGTAATTTTGCTAAATTGAATATGTTGTCATATAATTGTCTGTTTACTGACAGAACAACAACAGGTTTATAAACAAGTTTTATGTAAATCTGGATTGAAAATGTGCAGTGTGCAGAAAATTATTTCCTAATCTGTGATTTTGTTTTAATGAAAAATATGGATAGTAAGAAATTTGGTCATTTTCTTTAAGTCAATAGAAATGACTGCAGGCCAGGACTGGCTTGCTTTACCTATTTATCAGATTCAGTGCTCCCAATACTAAAAACAGCAGTATGTCATCACTGATCAGTGTGCAAGTCCAAACTTTAAATTTTAGTTTAGGTTAATCAGTCTGCTGCACTCTAATAAATAGTTAACACAGACAAAAGGAACTGTGTGTGTTGTTGTTGTTTTCTAGGAAAATTATGAGCGAATGAAAGTTCTGGTTGATGAACTTAAAAGCCGTTCAGAGAAGATCAAGTTGGGTAAGTTTCCTGCACCAGAAACACTTTTTTACTTGAATTCTTGCAGGTTTCTGTAATTTGGTGCCCCAACTGGAGCAATCAAACGAAGTTCCAGTTTTATTTCAGTATATTTGTTGTGAGAAAAGAAAATGGAGCTTTTACAAGTTGTGCAAATATTAACAGATCTTATAGTTATGAGGTTAGTTGGCTGAATGGTGCAGAATAGTTTTTTAACATGTTATTTCTCTTCCCAATAAAGGAGGAGGAGAGAAAGCAAGAAGACTTCATACTTCTCGAGGAAAACTTTTGCCGAGAGAGCGCATAGACAGACTGCTCGATCCAGGGTATTCTCATCTTTTCTCATCATTAGAACTCTGTTCAGTTTTTCAGCTTAACGTGTAGATGACCTTTGTTTCCCCTAATTGTGGGTATTTATGCTTTTTCCCCCCAGGACCCCGTTTTTAGAATTTTCCCAGTTTGCAGCTTATGAGTTGTATGGGAAGGAGGAAGTCCCAGCAGGTGGCATTATTACTGGGATCGGCCGAGTTTCTGGGTAACTGTTATAAACATTTCCAACATTCGACAAATGCTGTTTTCCTCATTAAAGTTAAAGGTTGAATTGGAACACTTTAATAAAAAGCTATATTGAAGAAAAAAAATCCCTCCACAGGGCATTTAGAGGTGTGCAAAATAAAGCTACAGTATTTCCTTTCAAATCTATATTTGAATTTAAAGACAAATAATTATTTTGATGGGCACGACACTGGGTTCATGTTTACATCTACCAGCCACTAGATGTCACCATTGTGGGTTGCCAAATACGTTAAACAGTCCACGTGTTAGTGATGGGTAGGTGAGGCTAGTGATGTGTCTGATTTGTTGACGCTGTAAAGCGTGTGTCGGGTACCCAGGAAGATTTTTTTGTGAAGCGCGTATCAAGGCTTGTGTCGATTACGTAAGCAATGACACGACGTTAAAGGCCTTGTTGGCAGTCCTTACCACGTGACCGATTCAGGAACTGGCTCGCCGGTTCGCGTCGGATTCGAAATAAGAGGGGCAGCCAAACATGGTTGATTCCCCTGTCATATTGTGCTGTGGAAACCCTTTGTCCTGTTAGTTTCCTTTCTCTTTTGGACCAGACAGTATATTAAAAGGACAGTTTAAGACAATATTAAGAATATATTTCCATCATAAGCAATTATTTTGTCATTTTAAAGTTTTACTTGAATCATCCACTTGATGGCAAAATAGAGAAAATGTTTATGTTTATGTTCATTTATTTAGCAGACGCTTTTATCCAAAGCGACTTACAATTTATAACCTATAGGGCATGTTGTGATCTGTGGGGGAAACCGGAGTACCCGGAGGAAACCCACGCATGCATGGGGAGAACACGCAACTCCACACAGAAAGGCCGCAGCAGAGTTTCGAACCTGCAACCTTCGTGCTGCGAGGCAACAGTGCTAACAACTGCGCCACCATGCAGCCCCAAATGAATCATCACGGTGCCTCGAATCAAGAGTCAACCCGTTGGATGAAAAGCTTCAGCTCATCACCATTAGATGATGCCTCGTGAAGCATTATGGCACATTACCCAAACTGTGTCAGCGCCGTGGCGCTCTTTGACTACAGACACCTGCTGGATCATAAATATCATTGCAGGCAGACCTAATAGGGAGACTTTACTGACATTAAGTCCTGCTGAGCAGTTTACCCAATGTGGGCTGGTCTGATCTGCACCCACCACGGTCATCCCCCGCTCTGACGGCCGGTGGAACGGACAGATTTCCACATGCATTTTGTCTGTGATGTCTCAACATTGACGAGGTTCTTTTATTACCGTAGGCGTTCCCTGGCCAGGTGAGAGACAGTCCCTCCACCGTGTCCTGGGTCTACCTTTAGGTCTCCTCCCGGTTGGACGTGCCCGGAAAGCCTCACCAGGGCGGCATCCTGACCAGATGCCCGAGCCACCTCAACTGGCTCCTTTCAATGTGGAGGAGCAGTGGGTCTACTCCGAACCCCTCCCGAATGACTGAGCTTCTCACCCTATCTCTAAGGGAGAGCCCAGCCACTCTTCGGAGAAAACTCATTTTGGCCGCTTGTATCCGCGATCTCGTTCTTTCGGTCACTACCCAAAGCTCATGACCATAGGTGAGGGTAGGAACGTAGATCGACCGGTAAATCGAGAGCTTCACCTTCTGACTCAGCTCTCTCTTCACCACGACAGACCGGTACAACGCCCGCATCACTGCAGATGCAGCACCAATCCGCCTATCGATCTCACGCTCCAGCTTTCCCTTACCCGTGAACAAGACCCCAAGATACTTAAACTCCTCGACTTGGGGCAGGACCTCATCCCTGACCCGGAGAAGGCATTCTACCCTTTTCCGAATCAAGACCATGGTCTCAGATTTAGAGGAGCTGATTCTCATCCCAGCTGCTTCACACTCGGCTGCGAGCCGCTCCAGCGAAAGCTGAAGATCACGTTCTGATGAAGCCAACAGGACCACATCATCTGCAAAAAGCAGAGACCTGATCCTCAGGCCACCAAAACGGATGTCCTCTACAGCTTGGCTGCTCCTAGAAATCCTGTCCATAAAGGTTATGAACAGAATCGGTGACAAAGGGCAGCCTTGGCGGAGTCCAACTCTCACTGGGAACGAGCCCGACTTACTGCCAGCAATGCGGACCAAGCTCTGACACCGGTCATACAGGGACCTAACAGCCCATATCAGAGGGCCTGGTACCCCATACTCCCGGAGTACCCCCCACAGGGCCCCCCGAGGGACGCGGTCAAACGCCTTCTCCAAATCCACAAAACACATGTAGACTGGTTGGGCAAATTCCCACGCACCCTCCAGGATCCCCCTAGGGGTATAGAGCTGGTCCAGTGTTCCATGGCCAGGACGAAAACCACATTGCTCCTCCCGAATCCGAGGTTCAACAATTCGATGGACCTTCCTCTCTTAAACTCCTGAATAGACCTTACCAGGAAGGCTCAGGAGTGTAATCCCCCTTTAGTTGGAACACACCCTGCGGTCCCCCTTTTTAAATAAGGGGACCACCACCCCGGTCTGCCAGTCCAGTGGGACTGCCCCCGATGTCCACGCGACATTGCAGAGCCGTGTCAGCCAACACAGCCCCACAACATCCAGAGCCTTAAGGAACTCCGGGCGGATCTCATCCACCCCTGGAGCCTTGCCACAGATGAGCTTTTAACCACCTCAGTGACCTCAGCACCATAGATTTGAGAGGCCAACCCAAAGTCCCCAGACTCTGCTTCCTCACTGGAAGACGTGTCGGTGGGATTGAGGAGGACTTCGAAGTATTCTGCCCACCGATCCACAATGTCCTGAGTAGAGGTCAGCAGCACACCGTCCCCACTATAGATAGTGTTGGTAGCGCACTGCCTTCCCCCCTGAGGTGCCGAATGGTGTACCAAAATCTCCTCGAAGCTGTACGGAAGTCTTGCTCCATGGTCTCACCGAACTCCTCCCATGCCCGGCTTTTTGTCTTGGCGACCACCCGAGCCGCGTTCTGCTTGGACTGCCGGTACGTCAGCTGCCTCTGGAGTCCCACAGGCCAAAAAGACCTGATAGAACTCTTTCTTCAGCTTGACAGCATCCCCCTAACCGCTGGTGTCCACCAGCGGGTTCAGGGGTTGCCACCAAGACAGGCACCGATGATCCTGCGACCACAGCTCTGGTCGGCCACCTCAGCAATGGAGGCATGGAACAGGGTCCATTCAGACTCAATGTCCCCGCCTCCCCCGGAACATTTTGGAAGTTCTGTCGGAGGTGGGAATTGAAGCTCCTTCTGACAGGAGACTCTGCCAGACGTTCCCAGCAGACCCTCGCGATACGTTTGGGCCTGCCTGGTCTGACCGGCATCCTCCCCCACCATCTGAGTCAACTCACCACCAGGTAGTGGTCAGTTGACAGCTCCGCCCCTCTCTTCACCCGAGTGTCCAAGACATGCGGCCGCAGGTCAGATGAAACAACAACAAAGTCGATCATCGAGCTGCGGCCTAAGGTATCCTGGTGCCAAGAGCACATATGGACACCTTTATGTCTGAACATGGTGTTCATTCTGGACAATCCATGACTGGCACAGAAGTCCAATAACAAAACACGACTCGAATTCAGATCGGGGGGCCATTCCTCCCAACCACACCTCTCCAGGTCTCACTGTCGTTGCCCACGTGAACATTAAAGTCCCCCAGCAGAACGAGGGAGTCACCGGAAGGAGCGCTCTCCAGCACCCCCTCCAAGGTCTCCAAAAAGGGTGGGTAGTCTGAACTGTAGTTTGGTGCAGAAGCACAGACCACAGTCAGAACCCGTCCCCCCACACGTAGGCGGAGGGAGGCTACCCTCTCATTCACTGGGGTAAACCCCAACTTACAGGCACCAAGATGGGGGGCAACTTAGTATGCCCACCCCTGCTCGGCGCCTCTCAGTGGGAGCAACTCCAGAGTGGTAGAAGGTCCAACCCCTCTCAAGGAAACTGGTTCCAGAGCCAGAGCCATGCGTTGAGGAGAGTCCGACTAGATCTAGTCAGAACCTCTCAACCTCACACACCAACTCAGGCTCCTCCCCCACCAGAGAGGTGACATTCCATGTGCCAAGAGCCAGCTTCTGTAGCCGAGGATCAGACCGCCAAGGCCCCCGCCCTCGACTACCACCCGTCACACACTGCACCCAACCCCTTTGGCCCCTCCCACCAGTGGTGAGCCCATGGGAAGGGGGACCCACGTTTCCTCTGCGGGCTGTGCCCGGCCGGGCTCCATGGGTGAAAGCTGGCCACCAGGCGGTAGCCAACGTGCCCCACCTCCAGGCCTGGCTCCAGAGGGGGGCCCCGGTGACCCACGTCTGGGCGAGGGAACACGGTTTCCATTTATATAACTCATCATAAGAGGTCTTCGGGCTGCTCTTTGTCTGATCCCTCACCTAGAACCTGTTTGCCATGGATGACCCTACCAGAGGCAGAAAGCCTCAGACAACTTAGCTCCTAGGATCATTGAGACACTCAAACCCCTCCCCCACGGTAAAGTGGCAGCCCAGGGAGAGGACAGTTGAACAAGTGCAACATTTAACTTGCAGTTTAAAAGAATCATTTAGGAACGAAATTCTGATGGATCAAGCTGAAACGGAGAGGAACAGGATGAAACAAGGAAATAAAACAAAATAAAAAGAACAAAATGATCCCTCACGGACCACCATCTCCTTTCTTTCTGGCTCCATGATGAATCCGTGGAATAATTTAGCTTCAAAATATGAACTTTTTGGTAGAAACTCGTCCCGTTGACAGATGGAGATGCTCCTCCATTTAAACACGGTTCAGCACTTCGCTGACAAGCGAAACAGCAGCTGCATCGGTCACATGACCACTTCCTAAATGAAATGCGCACCAACATGGGGTCTTGCTCTATGAGCTAGATACACGCGCCGACGCATCAGCGTTGCTGGACCCATCGCTACCTACCGCTCGGCTGGCACTGTGGAACATGGTGGAATTCAAGCAGTTGCTTCTGAGCCCAGAAGATGTTCCAACATTAAATCCTGTTTTAAACTGAACCTGTTAGTAGAAATGAGTCCTTACGCTGCACGACTCGTCACTGGACATGGTGCTGGCTGGTCACTTCTCGTGTCCTCTATTTTTGCAGCTGCAACCTTCATACACTAGATGTTGCTTTTGGTGTTCATGACCCATATTTCACCTTAAAAAACGACATTTATTTTGATAACAAAATGAAAGAATAGACGTTTGTTAGAGAATAATAATGCTTATTAATAACTACGGTTTTTATTCTGATTTCTGACTCGGTTGGGCTTGATTCTTTTATTTTATTTTCACTAGAGTGGAATGTGTTGTTGTTGCAAACGACGCGACTGTCAAAGGGGGTACGTACTACCCAGTTACTGTGAAGAAACACCTTCGTGCACAAGAAGTAGCCCAGCAGAACCATTTGCCTTGCATCTACCTGGGTCAGTATGCCAACATTTGGGTTAAAACACAAGTAGCTGACCTAGTACATCAGAAAAAGTCTGTAATCAGAGTATCTGCAGGTCCTTAAAAAGTCTTAAATTAGCTTTTCCAAATTTAAGGCCTTAAAAATCCTTAAAAATGACAAATAATCCTTAAATACAGTTTCCAAAGGTCTTAAATTACCAAAGACCCAATAAACAAGATTCTTTTATTTCTATAAAATTTTCGTGAATTTCTAGTTACATTTTTTGTGTACGACATTGGCGTAAGCGGAACCGTACACATTCAGTTGGTTGTGAAAGGGGGCTATTTTTAGATGAGCATATTAGCTGGTTAAGTAGTGGGAGCTTGCGCCATGGGGAAGTGCAAGTTTAATGGTAACTGGATGGCTAATCCCACGATCGCTGCGTGGTTAGCACCGGTTCCAGGTAATAGCTGGAAATTATAGCTTAGATTTAATTTTTAAAAATGGTAAATGACCCGCACTTGTATAGCGCCTGTCAGAGTAAGGACTCCAGAGCGCTTTACACTACAGTGTATCATTCATCCATTCACACACACGCATTCACACACTGATGGTGATGAGCTACGTTGTAGCCACAGCTGCCCTGGGGCGCACTGACAGAGGTGCCACTGGTCCCTCTGACCACCACCAGCAAGCAAGGTGGGTTAAGTCTCTTGCCCAAGGACACAACAGCAGAATTCTCTGTCCGGAGCCGGGATCGAACCTGCAACCTTCCGATTACTGGACTACCCACTCAGCCTGTTGAGCTAGTGCTGCCTTGCTTAAACAGCTTAAATTTGGTCAAAGTGGCCTTAAAAAAGGACTTAAAAAGTCTTAAATTTGGCTCCCTTAAACCTGCAGATACCCTGTGTAATAGAGTGAGGAGGCATGTGATGATTGTGTAAATAACAACTTTATTAAAATGTGATCTCTGTCAGTGGATTCTGGAGGAGCTAATCTACCCAGACAGGCTGATGTCTTTCCGGACCGAGACCACTTTGGCCGCATTTTCTTCAACCAGGCCCGGCTGTCGTCAGAGGGAATAGCACAGGTGGTTCTTGTGTTTGCTTCCTCTTTACTCTATGCCTGCCTTACTTTACCACTAATCACTGATGTTTTTAACAGGTTTAAACTAGAACTTGTGATCAGTGGATGTTTTAGAAGAATAGAACGTTCTGTCAGAATTTATACTTAACTGTAGTGATCTACAAAATGTCTGTGGTAATACGATTTAGGTGAAAAAATAACACAATATATGAATTCATGTACAAATGCTGATTTGACTTATTTTTTTGATATTTCTTAAAAAAAGGTAAAAATTTTCTTCGTCAGAGAAAAGGCAAAACTTTTCATACCAGCCAATTAAAATGGCTGAAAGTCAGAATGTGTATATCTTTATGGTTCTCTGTACACGGCGAGGAGGTGCTAGTTAACATTTTCCTGTCTCGTATTCCAGATTGCTGTTGTGATGGGCTCTTGCACTGCCGGAGGAGCGTATGTACCAGCCATGGCCGATGAGAGCATCATCGTGCAAAAACAAGGAACCATCTTCCTGGGAGGGCCTCCGCTGGTGTGCAGAAGTTGAATTTAGTTAAAACAGTCAGAAGTGTCGTGAAAATACCAAACGACGAGTTGTTTGACTTTGTGATTTAGGCGCCAGGAAAAACTGAAGAAGAAGAAGAAACATCACATGATTAAGATAAAGTTTTTCTGTTTTTACAGGTCAAAGCCGCCACGGGGGAGGAGGTTTCTGCAGAGGACCTTGGTGGGGCTGATCTTCACTGCAAGTGTGAACAAAACACTTAAAATTACATTATTGATGCACAGTGGATCAGTTTAGCTGAATATTTTAATGTCATGTTTTCTGTACATGAGTTAATTACTGATTAACATGCCTCCTATTGAATCTATGATGCCATAACAGAATTTTTATTGGTACTCTAGACCCCAGCTTCATACTACACGTGCTCTCATCTTCATTATTACTTTTATGTAGTGGCTTATGTGCTGTAATGGCTTCATTTGTTGTTTATTTCACAGAAAATCAGGTGTGACAGACCACTACGCATTAGACGATAATCATGCGCTCCATTTAGCCCGAAAGACCGTACGACGCCTTAATTACAGGAAAAATATTGAGGTCTGTCAAAAGATTGGAATGATTACTTATTCTATTGAAGTGCCTGTGTCCGCTCTGCCTATCAACGCTGCATCTTTTCTGTTGTTTAAGGTTACTATTGAGCCCACGGAAGCCCCCCTTTACGCTGCGGATGAGCTTTATGGGATAGTTGGAGACAACCTGAAGAGAAATTTTGATGTCAGAGAGGTATTTGACGAGTTGTTGCTCTTTATATTAAGGGAGTAAGAAGAAAATCTCGGATAATAACCCAAAAACAAACTAAGTGAATTTGGGTGTTTCCTGTAACAGTTGAGCATCTGCGTGGGTTTGCATATTGATGAGTTGGAAATCGTTCCTCCGCTCCACTCAGAGTCCTAATTAGAAAAAACTAAGATTAAGTTTAAATGCGTGTGAAGAAGGGCAATAAAATAAGTGAAGCTGATTTTATTTCTGGAACCAAGACTTTTATTTGCCACAGATATGTGAAGCACAGCCAGTGGAGATGGCTTTTAAAGGCTCGGAGTGAACGTTGAGTAGTGTTTAGATGTCGTGTTCTGGTATCAGGCTCTGAGTCGATGATTGCTAGCTGGCATCAATCACGTTGTTTTCTTCTCCCCGGCTGAGCCCGAGCCTTTGATTCTCGATGCTGTCTCAGGAGCGAGAATTACTGTTAACTGCAGCCGTGCCAAGTGTTTATAGTGTAGAACGGTATCGGCGATCCGTTTAGGATCCGGATCAGCCAGCTGCTGCTTCCTTACAGGAGTTGTTGGTTCTGTAATCGCCTGCTTTACACACTCGGTTAGGTGCATCACCTGCTTTCTTTTACCACACATGTTTTCTGACGTTAGACACGTTCTTATAAGCAAACATGTTCACTGGATTGCAGGTTATTGCCAGAATTGCAGACGGCAGTAAATTTGACGAGTTCAAGGCGTTTTACGGAGACACGCTTGTTACAGGTATATTATGATTTATTTGGAGTGGTTTGTTTAGTTTAGTTTTTATTCTGCCAGCCTCACAAATCCATGTTTGTTTTGTGCAGGCTTCTCCAGAATATTTGGCTACCCCGTTGGAATCATTGGCAACAACGGCGTCTTATTTTCAGAATCTGCGAAGAAGGTATTTATCCTTTGAGCCCGAAGCAAAACGACATGAAAAGATTTAGAAGGCACAAACGAACGTCTGAACCAGCGTGGTGTTAAAAACGCGTGGCCCTGTGATCACCGTGAAGAGGGAGCATTAGGATGTCTGTGCTCCTGTGAAAATATCAAGGACTTAAAACAAAACACTGACGCCGTTGGGGTAATCAGGTAATCTCCACAGGGATTTGCTGCCTACAGCGCTGAATACCAATAGGCCCCTCCTGCGGCAGCTTGGTGTTCATAGATGTTCTGTAATGACCCTTCACGGTCGAGGTGCACGGTTCCTCGCGGAGAATAAGCTCTCCGATTGCTCCTGTCTTTGTTATTTTACAAGTAATCTAATGAATGGGTTCTGGATGAGCTTTCAGCACCGCGGACAATCATCATTTTCTGTTTTCTAACTCTTAACTTTGTGAGCCGATTTGCAGCCAGCAGAGCAGAACTCTATGCAGACAGGCGATGAGTTGAATTTACAATGAAACACCAATATGTTTCCCCCCCAAGCGCGTTTTGAATTGGATTACAAGCTTGACTTGGAATAAGGAGTTCTTTCAGGTTTCCACATTCAATTATGAGCCAAGGCCATCTCCGTCGGGGAAGCTGCTGTCAAACGGGACTGACGGTGTTTCATGTGGACGGGACTCGCTTTAAGAGCTTAGTCGGTAAAATCGATACAGCACCTGCTCTTCAGGTTTCCTTTATGAGCCACTCTGTCATCACTTAAGACAAGTCTGTGCTTCTCTTGTAATAACTGCTGGACTATTTAAAAGCCCCCTAGGTATCTGGTGGAGAAGAGACGGGTGATGAAGACTTGGGGTTGTTCCAGTAGTCTGGAGCAGACGGTTGGATTATTTATCGTTAATGTGGCTGCTTGATGATGTGCAAAAAGTCAAACAGAATTTAAAATGATTACTCATGAAGATTTCCAGAGTTCACATTTTAAGGTGCAGGTGGAGGTCGGCAGGTGGGGGTGTGGTGCCGTTCTGTGATTAACACTTTTTATTCAAACGTTATTTCTTTTGAGTCCTTGTTAAATGATAAATGAGCCGCACTTGTATAGCGCCTCTCAGAGTAAGGACTCCAAAGCGCTTTACACTACAGTGAATCATTCATCCATTCACACACACATTCATACACTGATGGTGATGAGCTACGATGTAGCCGCAGCTGCCCTGGAGCACACTGACAGAGGCGAGGCTGCCGAGCACAGGCGCCACCGGTCCCTCCGACCACCACCAGCAGGCAAGTTGGGTTAAGTGTCTTGCCCAAGGACACAACAGCAGCATTCTCTGATTGGAGCCAGTATCGAACCTGCAACCTTCCGATTACTGGACAACCCGCTCAACCTGTTGAGCTGCTGCTGCCCCAGTTTCCCCACCGTTCTGTTAGTTCTTTCTATCTTCAGTTGAAAACCAAAAGTCAGAAAATGAAAAAGTTGTTGTTTATTTTTCATGAATGGATTTAGAATAAGATGTAAAAAGCCAAAAAGTACTTTTGTTTCCGATCAAAAACACGAACTGGAGAAAGCGGCTGCATGACAAAGGATCGGGTTTTTGCTCTGATCACCAAGAGGGCCGAAAAACTCTAGATGATCATGTCCAGGATGACGGGATCTACACTGACGTTATAGTAATAGTAGTTGCTGTCGGTAGCAGTCTAAAGGGCTGGGAGCAGACTGTTTTGTTGGGCAGTACACAGATATGACCACAAGGTGTCACTCTTACTTAATGCACCTTTAAAGGGGCAATATGGAAGTGTGACAGCCAAAACATGTATAGAAATAATAAATGTCTTCTTCATACGTTCTCCTGCAATGCCCTGGTCCTGTAGAATGAGCCCTGGCATTTTTACTGTGATTGCCTGTTTTTCTGTAAAATCACAGAAAAAGAGAGATGCTCGGGTCGAGCAGGCTGCTTCATGCGCGTTCACGCTCAGGCATCGCCCGTAGCATTTGCTATCCGTAGCTTTAGCAGCAGAGAGAGAGGCAGTGCCACTTTGTCGCTGTTGTTGGAACAATCTTTCAAGCAAGGGAAGGGAATGATCTGAGCATGCAGGAGGACTGACCCATCATTGACCTTTGTCGGCTGTGCTGAAGACAAAGGTACAGAACCACATTATTTAATTAATTAGCTGCACATTCTCCTGTCCCCTGTCCTCCGGGCCACACACACACACACACACACACACACACACACACGGGACTGTCTCAGCTGTTATTTTCGTTAAGGAGTGTGCACGTACAGCATGCGCGCCTCCTGCTCGAGCCTACTATTGAAGCTGCCGTTACGCTTTTGGCCTGAGGGGGCGATCACGAGCATAAAATTCAAAACTCCGTAAAGTCCCTTTAAGTTGAAACCCATGTTAACAGCCGCTAATTTAACCCGACCTTCTGTGGGATAACCAGTCACCTGAGTGCAACTAAGAGAAACAGCGCTGCTTAAAAAGCAGAGAAGAGCCGTGTGCACATGAGGGGAGTCGGTGTGCTTATTAATGAGATTTTTTTCTTTGCAGAAGCCTCGATACCTCAAATAGAAACGTAATCAAAATATAGCTGCGAGTGCGACTCCACAGGGCCAATCGAGGTCGTGACAGAAACGGAAGGCGTGTGTTTAAAGACGAATGAAGATCCAGATTGGAAATGAGGCTTCAAGTCCAGTTGTCATCTAGTTTAAACAAGATTTTCTTACCTGTTTTTCCCTAGGGGACACATTTCATTCAGTTATGCTGCCAACGCAACATTCCACTCGTTTTCCTTCAAAACATAACAGGTTGGTGCAAATTATTCCACTCTGGTTTAATATTTCATTTTAAACCAAAACCGGCACGGTCTTCTATCTTCTTCTGCCCCTCTGACTTCATTTTTAGGTTTCATGGTGGGAAGAGAGTATGAAGCAGGAGGAATCGCAAAGGATGGAGCAAAGATGGTCACTGCTGTCGCCTGCGCCAACGTACCGAAGATTACAGTCATCATCGGAGGCTCCTACGGCGCTGGCAACTACGGCATGTGTGGGAGAGCGTACAGGTAAAAAGCTGCTCTCTGTAGGGATGGGAGATTTATTACAACAGTCAAACAAATAAAAAATGAAACGGCTTCCTCCAGGATTGTTGGAAATAATCTAATATCTGCAGTAAAAGAATCATGATTTCCCCGTTTAAGGCGAATGAAACGTTCAAACAAGCATTTACTGCAGCTCCTGTCTGCTTTATTGTTCTCTATTTTATTTGATAACATTATACTTATTTCCTAATGTTTGATTAGAGAATTTTTTTTTTAACTTTGTTGGTTGTATAATAACAGAACCATAAAAATACTATAAATGGTACAGAAGTACACAGAAAGAGCCTTTCTCAGCTGTAAGGATCGTTTGGCTCGTGGTAAATATTCTCCTTCAAAGTGCAGCTTTTAGATGCTTCAGTATTTTTTATAGGACTGACAATTATTTTATTCTCTCTCGTTTTTTCAAAACACATAGTTGATAGGTGCTTTGTGTGTGAGAACGGGATAGAAAACAAGTGGAAAACACAGCAAAAACCTTTGAAACTTCTTCAGAAAACTTGTAGAAATATTGATCTTTTCCCTATAAGAGGAGTAGAAGAAGGGCTGCGTTCTTAGAAGTAAAATACTAAAACATCTGAGGTTATTTAACACTTTTACAGCAGCGTCAACATCAAGGTAGCAAGGTTTTCCCAGGAGGTCTGAGGTTGTTTCATCAGGACCATGCCAGACCTCATTCTGCACAGCTCATGTTGGCGGTTCCAGTACCGCTGAGTGCTCGTGTTTGACGGTCCAGCTTGTGTTCCAGATCTGTCTCCTTAGAAAAACGTTTGATGCATCGTAACGGATCCGGAAGAACCACAGCAGCTCAGGGCTCGTATTTAGCAAAACCTGACACATCAGTTAGCTTCTACTTACTCAGTGTCCCGTCTCTTTTTATTTCTTGAACTAATTTCTAATAAAATTCAAATAAAAAATCTGTTTTATAATATTTTATAGTTTTTTTTCTAACTAGCTGACATTAAAGGGTTAGGATGTTTTTCTTGCCGTTCGAGGAACCTACTTGAAAATACACAACTCAAAAGACCAACGCCCTTTCTTCAGGCTTCTTCCATCAGGAGCTCGGGGGTAGAGTGGGTTGTCCAATATTCTGAAGGTTGTGCGTTTGATCCTGGTTCTTGCCAGAGAATTCTACTGTTGTGTCCTTGGGCAAGGCGCTTAACCCACTTTGCCTACCGGTGGTAGTTGGATGGATCGGTGGCGCCAGTGTTGAGCAGTCTCGCCTCCGTCAGTGCGCCTCAGGGCAGCTGTAGCTACTTCGTAGCTCATCATCACCAGCGTGTGAATGTGTGTGTGCATGGGTGGATGACTGACTGTGTTGTGAAGCACCTTTCGGGGGTTGTTTAACCCTAAGAAGGCACTATACAAGTGCAGGCCCGTTAGCATTCTCTTGAGCCGTTCCTTCAGAATACAGGAATGAGTAATGCTCGTTCTTGGCGATTGTTTTACATTTTTCACCGTTTTTGGCAAATTGGCACCTTTTCCACCAGAATTCCTAACCCTGGCTTTCCACCAGATGAGTACGCTTCGTGTAAATTCGGCAAAGCGTACTACGTAGCTAAGAGCCAACGTTCTAGTTGATGGGTGTGTTTCCACCGGCCGTGAAACGACGCGTCTAGGATGTGCTCCAGAAGTGCTGTGTCCAATCGCTAAATTTACACTTTGAGTCTTTTTAGCGCGACGCTTCCTGAATGCTTCAAGCTCAGCGGTTCAGATTGGGCCAGACATGAAGGGAAGCAGTGTAAAGCAGCATCTGGCAACATAGTCATCCAATGGAAAGCTGAGGAAACGTAATGCACCTACGTAACCCTATAACAATTTAGTATTCTAGCTAATATAGAGTGGCACAGAAAAATTAAGCTGTTTTTAGCTTTCTTGGTGTATTATTACCTTAATAATCCCAGCAGCTCAGTGCTAGGGATGAGCGAGTACACTATCTGTATCTGTACTCAGAATGGGCGTGACATTACCCAGAAGTGGGCGTGGTTTAACCGGAAGTGGGCGTGGTTTACATCGATATATTATTTTAAGTCTGAAATTGATATGGAATGATCAGAAGTTGATATGTGTGTTGTTTATTTGAAAACTTTTTACAGAGCAGCCTCAGAAATTGAGATTAAATATTTTTGATCACAATAGTAAAGAAACTATTACAGAACAAGTTGTTCAGTAAAATCAGAACATTAATATTTGAGTGCATGGATTAATACATCTGAACTCATGCAGTAGGAACTAGGAAATATGAAATGCTAGAACCAGACACAACTTTATGTATATATTTTTATTTTAATTTGATTAAACTGATTTTTTTCTTAACGTTCTTGGCATTTTGCCACACAAAGTTAAACAAAACAATGTTGGTTAAGGTGTGTGTGTCTGAGAGAGATAGAGAGGGTGAGAGGGAGAGAGATGGAGTTAAAGAAACTAAAAAACCCGACCGGAGCGGAGGTAGTGAGTGACTGATGCAGCACGTCAGCTCTGTCTTGTCAAATGCACCATGTAAGTAACGAAAAAAGTAACTTTAAATATTCAACCGAAAAAGAGGCGAGCTGAAGGAAACCTAGGGAAAACTGAAGAAACGCGAGCAACAGTGAAGCAATCACAGCGAGATCCGTTACTGTCTGTGTGTGTGTGCGTGGATGAGCCGGACGGACTGCGCTCCTGGCCGGCTAGAGAGTTTTGTGTGTAGGGAGGGGCGGGCGCTCTATGTGACTGGCCAATCACAGAGCGTGAAGACAGTCAGTTACCCAATGAGGATTTTCCTTCAGCACGATTACAGATATTTACGAGTTTTACTCGTTTCATGCTCGTATTCGTCAAAAATGCTTTATCCGTACCTCATCCCAATCTCCGATCAGGCAGGGGGCCAGAGAAAATTACGGAGTCCGACATTGTTTTGGCAAACTTACACACCGAAGCAACATTAATTTTAGTGACCTCCGATTGGCGTAACCGGGTGTCGTTACCGCCAGCGTGAATAACAATCTTACTGTATTTACGCTTATCCTTAGCCAGCAGTTTCAGGTAAGATTTAATGTCGCCCGCTCTGGCCCCAGGTAAACATTTAACTATGGTTGCTGGAGTCTCTAATGCCACGTTTCTGACTATGGAGTTGCCAATGATCAGAGTCGGCTTGTCAGTGGGTGCGTCACTGAGCGGGGAAAATCTGTTAGAAACGTGGACGGGTTGGTGGTGGCCCACGGGCTGGGTTCTATGCTTCCTGCGTACCGTCACCCAGCCGGCCTTAGGTCCCGGCTGCTCGGGTTCTGCTGGAGGGTCGCTATGGGGTGGTTCTGAGCTAGTTAGCCCCGCGCTAGCTAAGTAACTACGGCTGTTTACGGGGTTTTCAACAGCGCAGAGCCGGGACTCCAATTCCGACACCCTCGCCTCCAAAGCTACAAAAATGCTACATTTATTACACGTACCATTATCACTAAAGGAGGCAGAGGAGAACTAAACATCTGACACAGAGAGCAAGAGATAGGAGACAGAGAGGCTGAGACAGAAGTAGCCATAGCCGTGCTAAGGCTAAGCTAACTGGACGAGCAAACTGTTCAGTACCAAATAAACTGCGTGTGAACTCAAATGGTTCCCTAAAAGCTAGGTGGAACAACAGAAAATGTGTGTTTTAGCGTGCTTATGTGCTACAATAACTCAGAGATATCCTGTTACAGAGAAATTAAATCAGTTTCAGCGAGCCCCAAACACCAAACAGCTACACGGAGTGCAACACTGAAAACAGGAAACGCCTTACCGCCAGGTGTAAACATTCAGTTTATTAGTTACCATCGGTATGTGAAGGGCATTTCAAGCAATGTGGAAAAAACGCTCCAGAAAAAGATGTCATACTTCACCTCTAAAGTAGACATTTGTGCTCAAATTGACATAATTTATTTCCCTCCGCAGTCCTCGATTCCTCTACATGTGGCCCAATTCCAGAATCTCTGTAATGGGCGGCGAGCAGGCAGCGACTGTCCTGGCTACCATCACTAAAGATCAGAGGGCGCGAGAGGGAAAGGAGGTAAAGACTTCTATTAATCAGCCCATCTGTGCTTTTCTGAAGAGACGTAAATTAGCTTTGGCTGAATCGCTGCCAAAAGTCTAAACAGCACAAAAGACACTTTTCTTTCTGTGATGGTCTAACATGACAGAATAAAATGAGATCAGTGTTAAGTGTTGCTGGGATGACTTATCCATTAATAGTGCAGTCATCAAACGGCTGTAATTAAACAGTGACAGGTTTGATGTTAGGGTTGTATTAATAACGCGTTAACGGCTTCAGAAAGACACCACGTCAGCGCTCTGGTGACGGCCTTTTCATGACACGTAAACTATCAACATAAAGAGATAATAAAACCTAATATTCAGGTTTTGAATACAAGTCTAATTATTCCTTTTAGTAACTGAATTAAACCTGTGTGTATCCTAGTGGAGCTAACTGGTTCTGAGTCAAACAGTACTAACAAGTTTAATGTTGACTGGTGATGTTAAAAATACATTTACAACAAAATTTGACTGACAAAGCTGCCAGTTTTCATGGGTTATTATTATTGTGTTGCAGAAACTTTTGTCTCCAACCAGCCAGTCTTCACTTCTCATTTCCTTCACTAGACCAGGTTCTGTGGTGATAGCACATATGTGACGTCTGCTCGGCGTTAGCCTACTAGCTAACAGCTGCAAGTTATGGCATCTGAAGTCAGTGGTAGAGTTTTATTACTGGTATCCAATCCGAGGTGAGACGTTCAAATATCAGGAAAGAAGAGTCCAAACCCTCCCATCTGCTGCCACTCTGTGTGGCAGCAACAGGTCTGTAGATGATGCCATCAACATGGCTCTACACTTCATTCTACCGCATCTGGACTCCCCAGGGACCTACGCCAGATAGGCGGGGCCACAGGATAGGCTGGGCCTCGGGAAGCGGATCCACAGGATAGACTCAACCTTGTGATGTGTAGCCGCAGAAGGCGGAGTCACCCAAGAATGCTGGGCCTTAGGAGGCAAAGCCACAGGAAACTGGACCTCCTGAGAAGGAGCAGCTGGAGCAGAGCCACTAGAGTAGGCTAGGCCTTGGGAGGTGGAGCCACAGGAATAGGCTGAATCCCGAGAGGCATAGCTGCAGGAGGTGGAGCCTCAAAGGGTTGCCACAAAAGGAAGTTGAGCATTGGGAGGTGGTGCCACTGGCGGAGCCACGTGGATAGGCTAGACGTCGGGAGGCAGAGCCAAAGGAAGTGGAGACGCAGGAGGCGGAGCCAAAGCCATTGGAGGGGGCTGGTCCTTGGGCAGAGCACCTAGAGAAGGTTGGGCTCTGGCGAGCCACAGAGATAGCCTGGGCCTCTGGGATAGGCTGGCCCTGGGGAGGCACAAGGCAAAGCCTCGGGGATAGGTTGGGCTAGTCCATATATTGGTATTAGATATGAAGAGTTGGACAATATCAGATACCAGTAAAGTCAACTATCCCTGGTTCTAACACATAAAACTAACCAGACGGGCTAAAGATGTTCACCACTGTGACATCGTTTCTCTTTTGGAAGTCTAAGTTAGAAAATAAATCAAAATAGTGTTGTTTTCTTACTGAAATCGACTTCATTGTTGTCCTTAAGATTCATCCATTCCTACCAGTAAACCTTAGTTCTGATTCATGGAAAACTACTGAAGTTTAGCCTCAAACTTGAACTGAAAGGTGAATTTTCTTCTGATTGTTATCTTTGAAAACCCAAGAATCTAGTAAGATTTCTGCTGTTTCACACCCCTTGAAACCATTTGAAGAGGGTTTTCCCTCCTGATTCTATTTATAGTTGGTGCTTTACGGTATTTTCACAGGTGAGTTTGCTGCACTCATCTTTGACTAAAACAGGAACAACTGCTGCGTCTGCTCAGGGATTCTCTGTTTTCCTCACAGGAATGGGTTCTGGTCTTCGCAGACTTATAAAAAGGCTTGCCTCTTTACATTTCAGCGCACCTTCAGTAGCTCAGACAACCTGTAAAAAGCCCGTGGCACCTGCCCTTATTGCCTTCTTCTGTTTTCTCAATTTATTCAGTTCACAGCGGAACAGGAGGCGGCCATGAAGGAACCAATTGTTCGGCGGTTTGAAGAGGAAGGCAGTCCGTACTACTCCAGTGCCAGGTGATGTTCGGTCACAACGCATCATATCTCTCAGGCGGGGCGGATTGAGATTAAACTGCACGACCTCACCTCTGCAGTTCTGGTTTATTGCCTTTTGTATGGAAATGATGGCAGTTTGATGCTGTTGCAGGGAGAAAGTCTAATCTGTGTAACGACACCAATGGGCAGATGTCAGCTCTGCTTTCTGCTGCTTTAGGTAGAAAATGTCCAATATTTGATGTTATTTCTTTTCTTCTGAATGAGAAACCAGACAAAAGCCTTGTTTCTGTGTTGGGGTTCATCTCCATGAAGACGGCCCGTTGTTTTGCCTTTCTTTACTTTTAATTGACTTTCTTTGGCTGTGATGAATGCGTCTATGAGCAAGGCAGATGATGGAGCTTTTACGGCAACATTGTGTGTAATTGTAATATTTCAGGGACGCAGTTTTATAAGATAAAATTCAGCAGATTTTACTTTAATTTGGATTGAAAGTCGTATCCTCTTTTACGGGATTGCTCTTGCAAGAGCTGAGCTGCAGGGCTCTGTTAAAACTCACAATGAGCATTGTTCTAGAATAATAAGACGTGGATCATTGTGTAAATCAAATCAAATCAAAGATACTTTATTAATCCCAGAGGGAAATTAGAGTTTCAGTACACACAGTTCAGAGATCAGACATACATGGGCAAGACACATGACAAGAACTGGTGACTGTGGTCATTCGCAACCCTGAGTCGCGCTACCTTAATAGAGATCAGAGGTTTACATGAGGATTGGTTCAGGTGGAGGGAAAAAAAGGCACTTCAGAGTTACCCTCCACCAGGAGGGCAGCTTTGCTCTGCAAAAAAAAAAACACCTCAGACAGAAATGCAACAGACTTCAGACAACACAACATGTGTCCACTAGGTGGGGTGGTGGGTTGGGACTATCCCCACTTCAGTTTCTGCAGCCACGATAAGCAGTGCTTGTCACCTCAGTGTGGATGGGGGGAGGAGCATTGAGGGTTGGAGGGTTGCAGTGACCCTGGAACGATTTGGCGGCCTTCCCGCAGTCCCACCCAGGCTGGGAAAGCAGACAGAGTTGAGTTGCCTTAGCGACGGCACATTCCACATATCTTCTGAGGGGGGAGTTTTCGTTGGAGCCTTGCAGGCTCAAGGACGCCAGATTCCAATTAGAAATTGTTTTGGGGCCAGACAGAGATAATTTCCTCTGTCTTACAGTTTGTTGGTCCTCAACCTCTCAAAATCCCAATAATGGACATTAAACTATCCCAATCCGTGCTGATTTGTCCACTCTATCCTTGATGGCATCCATCTTTTGTGCCAAAGAATGAATCTCCGCCAAAGTCCCAAGCTTACGACTCATCTCGACAATTATGTGAGTCTGTGAATTCACAGCGCGGTGCAATCCATCTCTGAGCTCCGGGATCAGGCCAATATTCCTCAACAGCTCGTTAATTTTCGGGTAAGCCAGGAAGCCTCCAAGGCCAATGAGCAGGAAACCTGACACCAACACCACGAATATCCACACGTCTTCAGACATACATTTTCTCTTCCTGCGATTGCAAAATGAATTGAAATATTTAAGTTTGCTGGCGTTGTGACGTTTTGCTTTAGGCCGAGTCTTCGTTAGATCACCCCGAGCACAGGGCTGGGCAGGAATACTCATGTTGGTAACTAGCTTCCAAGTTTGTGATCCAGTGTTTTTAGAATAGTTGAATACATTCGTGTCCCACTTTGCATTCCCATTACTCCCAGGAGATGTTCTCTGCATCAGCTCTCTTCACAGTGGATAAACAAGCCCATTTATTGAAGAGGCTTTTCGGTAAGCAGCTGTTTACCACACGGGGGTAAGATAGGCTCGCTTCCCTCTGGTTCGGTCCAATTAGTTCCAGAGAACAGCTGCTGTATATGAGATGTGTTGTACGTGCTCAGTGTTGCTCTTGTGGTTTGCACTGAGGTGTGTTCTAAGTTTCTCTCATTTTAATACCATACCAGTTTATTTATAAAGCACCATTTCAACATAGCATGGCAGCTAACCAAAGTGCTGTACATAAAAGCCAAATGCTTGAACAGATCAAGAAAACACAATGAAAGCAGGTAAAATACATAAAAACATAGCATAAATAATCAAGGATAAAAATTCCTGCTAAAAGCAATAGAATAAGAGAACAGTTAACAGCTCTATCAGAAATACAAATCATGCCACGGATGATAAAAAACATTTAGCACAAATAAAACCAAAAAAGCTACAAGATGGTGCGAGGTGTTAAAAGTGAGCTACTGAATCGTGAAAACTAAATGAAGAAAAATTAACTTGGTGCTGGATTTTCATGTAAAGTGTCACGGAGGGAAGGCGATACTGAAAACGTGTGTTTTTAAGGGCCGGCTTGAATCTGCTGAATTCCTACTCATGCAGGGTGTCCGCGGGTCCTTAAAAAGTCTTAAATTAGCTTTTCCAAATTTAAGGCCTTAAAAATCCTTAAAAATTACAAATAATCCTTAAATACAGTTTCTAAAGGTCTCAAATTACCAAAGACCCAATAAACAAGATTACTTTATTTCTATGAAAATTTTGTGAATTTCTAGTTAGCGTTCAGCATTTTTTGTGTACGATGTTGGCGTAAGCGGAACCGTACACCTTCAGCTGGTTATGAAAGGGGGCTATTTTAGATGAGCACATTAGCTCATCTAAGCCCCCCCCCCCCAAGTATGTTTGTGTTACACTGAGTAGGAGATGCTCTGTATCTCACTTTACACCTGTATAGTGACAATAAAGGCATTCTATTCTATTCTAGCTGGTTAAGCTAGCGGGAGCTTGCTCCATGGGGAAGTGCAAGTTTAATGGTAACTGGATGGCTAATCCCACGTTCGCCACGTGGTTAGCACCGGTTCCAGGTAATAGCTGGAAGTTATAGCTTAAATTTAATTTAAAAAATAGCTTAAATTTGGTCAAAGTGGCCTTAAAAAGTTCTTAAAAAGTCTTAAATTCGGCTCCCTTAAACCTGCAGATACCCTGTTATGTATATGTATGAAATAATCAGCTGATTGTAATTTCTTACAAGAATATTTAAGCCATTTAAAGTTTTTCTTTGTAAAAGTTAGAATTACTGTCTGAAAAGACTCACTCTGGAGAAACAAAGATTACACCACTAATGCGCTAACGATCACTTTGAGTGCAACAAAGACCAACATTTATTTTTGCACATTATTTTAAAGGTCTCATTCACTTGTTCTTCCTGTAAATTAGCTGTGGCCTTTAGTATGAACCAATGCCTTGTGTATTGTTTTCTGGGGGGGGGGGGGGGGGGGGGGCTGCTCTCTCCTGACTGCAAAAATCAGCACAGCCTTCCACGGTCTTAGGCCAATGTAGGTGATGAGGTCGTTTTTCATGCACAGCACGCAGATGCAACTCAGAGTGGTCGGCCATATTTTGAAAACAAGTTTTACACATTTTGTCTGATCGAGCCCTTTAAAGCAGCTCCAGTCCTCTATGGTGCATTCACATCTGGGTCGGCCCAGACCAGTCTTGGTCTGGTCAGCCCGCCCCCACATGACCATGTTTTGTTCACAATATGATGTCAGTGGTTCACAGCTGGACAGATATCTCTAAGCATGGGGAGGGGGCACAAATGCAGGTGTAAGCAGTGCTGCACTAAGAGACGCATGAAGCGCACAGCTTCCGACTCTCACTGAGCAGCGGCGCTGCCGTGGGCTCCCCTCACAGCAGTCTGTCCTCACGCGCCCTCGGCCGGAGCGGTGGGTCTGAGCTGCAGTCAGAAGATGTTTACCCCGCTGCATCCTGACCGATGCTGAATCACGCATGCGGGAAGCCACCACTGGCTGATTCTAGCTGCCAATCAGAGGCTCCTACAAGTAGGTAGGTATGAACTTCAGCTAGCCAATCAGTCCGTAGTGGATGTGTTGGGTCGGCTCCGCGCCAAACTGACTCCCGAGAGAAGGTAAAAGAAATGGTCGGATGAGCTCGTAAAACTCAAATTACTCAGATGTGAACACAGTCACTCTAACCGGGCTGGACCAAGCCGACCCAGGTGTGAACACAGTCACTCTAACCGGGCTGGACCAAGCCGACCCAGATGTGAACACAATCACTAACCGGGCTGGACCAAGCCGACCCAGATGTGAACACAATCACTAACCGGGCTGGACCAAGCCGACCCAGATGTGAACACAATCACTAACCGGGCTGGACCAAGCCGACCCAGATGTGAACACAATCACTAACCGGGCTGGACCAAGCCGACCCAGATGTGAACGCACCGCTATATGGTTATTTATGAGTGAAAACATCAAGCTGGCACCAACATGTAGAACTTCCTGTTAATCCGAGGTTAAATGTGGCAGGAAGTGTTTTAAACTTCTGCTAAAATAACCGTGCTGCGCCTAACTGATAACAGTGTGACAGATTTACATCATTAAATGCTTCAACTGGAGTGAAATTTAGGATATTGGAGCTACTTTGAGGCAGCAGTAGATAACATTAGTCTTAGTTTAGCTCAGGCTAGTTGCTAGCCGATTTGTCTGTTAACTATTTCTCAACACAGAGGCTGTTCAGGAAAAGTTTATAATAAACTATTACACAGAAACGCCCTTCAGGAGGAGTAAAATCAGCATCTGTTAAGTTCCTGAGAGGTCAAGAGGTCAAACTAAACTACAGGAGACATTTCTCATTTTTATCAGCAGGATTTCTTATGTTTCTGTAATTTTATAGTAACGTCTGGTTCATGCTTCTCCGTCAGCTCCGCAAGGGACAGACACGCACGGATTGACGGAAGCGTTTTGCTCTCATACTTCTCCGTCTCCTGGAGAGTGTTGCAAAGCAATTCCCCCGGCAGGACAGCAGAGGGCGTAGTGCTGTTCTGTGGTATCCTGTCATGTATCGGTCCAAGATCGTGTGTTTATATTGTGTTTTTTGTATATAAGAGACTTTTAAAACGGACATATTTGTCTCTCATTCTCCCACCTCTTCATGCGCTCCCCACCTCTAAACCCACGTTTCCTGTCATTTCCGTCCACAAATAAAACGCTTGCTGTGCATCTTTTCTCTCCTCCAGTCACGGGGGAATTAAACGTTCATATTTTTAGAGTTTTTTCGCGAGGTATTCTTCAAGCTTCTCCGTGTCTGCCGCTAGTTATCCTCGGCTCTCTTTGCAATGGCGGCGCTGTAAACAACAGCAGCATCCTGACCAATCACAAGCTTGCGTAATCCATCTCGTTCGACGGATGTTTAAAAAAGTGGGCTCGACTCCGTACGTTCTTGCGTGCCTGCCGGAGCCCTACGCAAGGACGTTGCGTGTCTCCGCACTGACGCAGACGGAGAAGCATAAACCAGGCTCAACAGTTGATGATAATTCTACATCTTTATTTGCAAGTTGAGATCAGCCTTAAAACCAAATGATGAGGAGGGAAACAACCAAAACAATCTCACACTCTGTTAAATAAAACCACACGTACACTTGGAAGGGAGGATATTAGTGACATCTAACATCATGGAGCTCTTTATTTCCACAGACTTTGGGACGACGGCATTATCGATCCTGCAGACACTCGTCTGGTTTTGGGACTGAGTCTGAGCGCGGCTCTCAATGCACCAACGAAGAAGACGCATTTTGGAGTCTTCAGGATGTAACACTCATAAGAAAGTCGTGCTGTATTTACGTTTCTTTGTAGTTTTTGATGTGATTTGTTGACCAGATTAAAACAAATCAGAAGAAGCTCCTGACTGCTGACGGGGATGTGACTGGATGTGGTTTGGGGACGTTTGTGTGGTGAGGTCGAGCCTTGCTGTTACTGTTTACTAACGCAGCGGTGGTCATTAAAACACTTCATGATTATGCTTCTGTCACAGACTGTAAATAAACTTTGTAAAGGATTAAAAAATTCAAGTTAAAATGAAATCCTCTGTGTGCATGAAGGCATTTATCCATAAGGGGGCGCTGTTTAGCCACAAATGAGACTTCATTATTTCTGGCTGTCTGTCTCTCCTTCGTTTTCTTTCATATTTATAATCTATTAGTTTATAGCTGGCACAGATGATCTGTGGTTTCATGTGAACTGGAACTAAGAAACTGTCTGACGGCCCTTTAATCTGTCTTGCTGAACTGTAGATTTAGTCTCCGTTTTACTCCTCAGGACCGACTCGAGTCCAAGGACCTGGTGCATCTGGACATTTGCGTGTTTTCACGAAGCCAGATGGTTAAAGTGCGAAACTGGAAGCTTTGCGCTCGTCTGTGATTGAGGCTGTGGAGAGGTTCACCTCAGGGAGAGCAGAAACAACTCAAAGCACAAGATCCTCTAAGTGCATGTGTGTGCCGCCCACGCCTCCCCAAAAAAAGTAAAACTGGTCAGCTGCCTTTATCTCACTGAGCCAAATGTCGCTGTAGGAGGCGATCCAAGGCCTCCTCTGTCAGCTTTCCACTCAGACTCTCAGAAGTTAGCCGTGATGCTGTGATCCAGTGATTCAGAGGAGTTGAAGACAGACTGGAGACTCGGGGTGATTAGAACGACTTCTCTGATCTGGTCTGTCCTGCCTTTGTTGTCAGTTTCTGTGCAGCTTCTGGGTCTAAGTGAAACGTGAGTTTGTCCCTCGTCTGGCCAGAATATCTGGAGAGCTTTCCATCTGTTACGGAGCACTTTGCTCTCGGGGTTCACGGCCTTCCTCTGCAGAGACTGGATTAAAAGGCAGTTGAGACAAATTGTCAAGCACACAGATGGGCGCTCTCATCAACAGCAATGCGTGGACAGTTTGTCTAAAAGAGACCGAATGACTTTGGGATGATCCCCCCCCCCACCCACACACACGCACACACACACACACACACACACACACACACACGCACACACTTGGATCTGCATTAACAGTCAAACCAGAATTCTTCGAGGCAGCAGTGACAGAACGGGTCTTTAGAAGTGTGAAGCTGCTTTTTACACCCCCGAAACCTCAGGGTCACTCTCAAAAGTGACCTTGTTTGTTTACGGGGTGCGGTTGCTAAGGAGATGTACAGATTCAATTCAATTCAAGTTTATTTATAAAGCGCCAAATCACGACAAGAGTCGTCTCAAGGCACTTCACATAATAAACATTCCAATTCAGGTCAGTTCATTAAGCCAATCAGAAATAATGTTTCCTATATAAGGAACCCAGCAGGTTGCATCAAGTCACTGACTAGTGTCAGTGACTAGATGCAATCCTCATACTAAGCAAGCATGCAGCGACAGTGGAGAGGAAAACTCCCTTTTAACAGGAAGAAACCTCCAGAGAATCCTGGCTCAGTATAAGCAGCCATCCTCCACGACTCACTGGGGATGGAGAAGACAGAGCAGACACACACACACACACACACACACCACACACCACACACACACACACACACACACACACACACACACACACACAATAATGTGTCTATAGTTCTATTGTGATGTCTTAGTAAATATTGTATTTGGTGAAAGATAAACTTTATTGTATTTACTCTAGTGGATCTATTATTAAACGGGTAAACTAGTAGTAGCACATCAAAAGTCAATGAAAACAAAAAGTTATTATCAGGAGATTCGATGAGAACTTGGTAAAATACTTGCAGCTACATCAGCTGTTTTTGATCATATGATCAGGGAATTTTTAGGAACAGGGTTGACTTAAACAGGAAGTAGCGAGTTTATTTAGCAAATTTTACGTGAAACTGGAAACAAAGTTAATTTATTTCAGTGATTCATCTTAAAAAGGTGCAACTAATAAATGATGCAAAGCCAGATATTTCAAGACTTTATTTATTATAACTGCAAGTATTGATATAGATTGCTCTCTTGTTCATTCCCTGATTTTGTTGATCGATGGAAATAAATGGTTGACACTTGTAGGTGGATCAAGCATCTGACTGAGATGTCTCGCTCTGGTCATTTCCAACTGGAGGTGTCCTGAGAACGTCCCACTGGGAGGAGACCCCCGGGGCTAAAACCTGAACTCACTGGAAGGATGTTCTGGATCTCCCAGGAGGAGCTGAAGAGTGTCGCTGTTGTCTTCACTTGCCTCCTGGACTCTTTTCTTACACAACCTGATCTTGGATACGTCAGAAGAAAGTATATATGGAGAAATCATATTTGCATCTAATTGGCTTCACATCACAGTTCAGCCTTTATTTGTATGGTGCTTTCTTCGGGTTCTACAACCCCTCAAAGCGCTTCACAACACAATGTCAGTCATCCACACACCCATTCACACGCTGGTGGGGATGAGCTACAATGTAGCCACAGCTGCCCTGGGGCGCACTGACAGAGGCGAGGCTGCCGAGCACTGGTCCCACCGGTCCCTCCGACCACCACCAGCAGGCAAGGACACAACACCAACGTTCTCTGGTCGAGTGTAAGTTTGTTTGTTTTATAACTTGTTAACAATTGAACCAAAAATGTTTTGAGTACCACTAAAGGGCTCGGTGAGTCTGCTTGGGATCCTTGTCTCACAGTTTGAGAGTCAGGGATCAAGTAGTAATGTGAAGAATATTTGCATTACTTCCTGCTATTTCAGCTGTTAACTTTATTTTCTCTCTAAGTGTTTTTCTCCCCAGAAGAAGCTACAACGATGTTCTGCTGAGCTGTGATGGCCTCATGGAGGGGGCCATCGACTAGCACACTGCTGCTAACCACTTAAACATTCTCCCTCTCCTGATAATAACTTTTTACTCTCTTTGACGTTGGATGTGCTACTACTAGTTTACCCATTTAACTATAGATCCACTGTGTGTGTGTGTGTGTGTGTGTGTGTGTGTGTGTGTGTGTGTGTGTGTGTGTGTGTGTGTGTGCCTGCTCTGTCTTCTCCGTCCCCAGTGAGTCATGGAGGATGGCTGCTTCTACTGAGCCAGGATTCTCTGGAGGTTTCTTCCTGTTAAAAGGGAGTTTTCCTCTCCACTGTCGCTGCATGCTTGCTTAGTATGAGGATTGCTGTAAAGACTCTGACACTAGTCAGTGACTTGATGCAATTTGCTGGGTTCCTTATATAGGAAACATTATTTCTGATTGGCTTAATGAACTGTGAATTGGAATGTTTATTATGTGAAGTGCCTTGAGACGACTCTTGTCGTGATTTGGCGCTTTATAAATAAAGTTGAATTGAATTAGTGCATGAATTGATACCTTCATTTTTTTCTTCTTTACTGAAATAGATCCGATACATCTGGATAAAAATAGACGAGTCCTCTTGCAAAATAAGACATGAAAATATGATAAATTTAAAAAATAAAGATAATAGTTAAAAATAACGGGAGGAATACTGGAACATAAAAAATGGTTTTTATAGTCTTTTTGAAACAGCAGAAGTTGAACATAGACATATCTAGTGTTGGCATATATATATGTTTTACAAAAGAAATTACACAGATTGTTCACGTTTGTATTCAAATGTTCATAATTTCATCGTAATATTTGATAGACTATTGGTAATTTTGTATTAAAGTGGATATGTGCAATAATACTTCCTATTATTTCCAGTGGACCTGCAATAAAGAGAACATTTGTGTTGGTTTAATGTAAAACTATAGATAACATGCATCATTTAAATGCTGTTATTATTTAGACTTAGTCTGCTTTATTTCTGGTCATTATTTGCAGTTTTACAGTTCGTGTCTCCATTCCATGTACATACTACAGTATTTAAGTTTTATGTCTTAGAATGTGTACACATATTTATATTCAAGAATCTTACTTCTGCTATGTTCTTTAATCGGATTTACTCTTTGATCTTTATTTCTGAGTCTTCTGTTACCTGGGACTGCTTCTGTTTCTGACCCTCTGCTCTCATGTGCATTAAGAAGACTGTGAGATTTTACCAGAAAGATCAAATAAAACGGTTTTCTCAGACTGAAAATGTTTTTTTGGGGGGGGTTGCCGGTAGACTTGGTCCTTGTTCCTAACTTTCTGTGCCGGTGTCACTGGCTCCCCGAGTGCGGTCAAGTGACTCGTCCTGTGCCGCAATCCACGTCCTCACGCGTGCGCAGACTGACAGGGACCACCAGCCAATCAGATCCCAGGACAGATTCAGGTTGTCAAATCAGGGCCAAAGAAGGGGTGCCCTACCGTCCTCGTTCTAATGACGTCATGCACAAACAGCTGGTCGCTGGCAAAAAGAGACAGAGAGAGAGAGAGAGCGGAAAAAATCTGAAGAAATGTAGACCAGCAGAGCGACGGAGAACCGCAGCCGGGCTGGAGCCCCCCTCACCACCGCTTAGCTTTTAACGATGTGGCAGCTGGAGCGCCCGGGCCCCGGATGTAGCCCTCCGAGGCTCCTCTTGCTTGTTTACAGCTTCTTCTGCGCAGCTGGAGGTGAGTGCCTCTGCTCGGCTTGTTGGGAGCTGTCCCTGTTGTCGGGGTGCTGAAACCCTCCCAGCAGCAGAGGCAGCGCCGCATCCCGGTTCTGGCTCCACATCCTCAGCTGCTTGCTCCAGTAGCACAAAACAAAAGGACTGGCTTCAGCTGCTGCTGCTGCTGCTGCTGCTGCTGCTGCTGCTGATGATGATGATGATGATGATGACTTTAGCCATCCTCACAAATCCTCTGAAAGCTTGTTTCAGGTGTTTGATATGAAAACCAACCGTACTGGACGTTTTCATTGTAGTAAACTTTTAGTTTTCTTAAGGGGGGCAGAAAGCATCCAGTCACTTATGGGACAACGGAATTTACTGACATGAAATGAAAGAATTACTGTGACATCATAACTTTAACCTACAGAAAGCTGTTATGATGCCACTGTTTTGCGTTTCAAGCATCAATGGGAGTGTTTTTGTGGTCCACTTCTCAGAAATGTTCTGACAGATTCTAAAAACGGAGCTTTAGAAGAAACACCCGAGTGCTGAGCAACAATAATCTGGACCTACAGGACACACTGTACCGGCGGCTGTCACTACCCCAGGGTCTGTCTGAGGATGTTGCTGACTTGTTGCTGTTTTGCTCCATCAGTTCTTTTCATCTTGGCTGAAGACGGAGAGCGCGCTCCGTCAGTCCATCTCTCCCCGGCTGTTGCTGCTTTTTATTCCACAGGGAACCTTTTGTCTCTGATAAAATGTTAAAAATTGAAAAGCTGAGGATGAATCCAAAGGTTCAGACAGGTCCAGTCTCAGGGTCCCTCTCTAATTCTGGCCCTGATCTAGTTTTCCACACACTCACTCCTGATTTTTTTTGCATGAAGCAGAAGGAGGCACAATTAAACATGTGAACTTATTTCCTGTCACAGTTAAACCGTGCCTCCTACATGTTTAAACAGCCAGACGGCTCATCCTCGGCTGCTGGTTTTTGTTTAAGGGGAAAGCAGGAACTTACACCAGCAGCCTTTTCCTCAGCCGCTTAAAGAAAGTTTAAAGACCGTGTGAGTGTGTAAATGTGACAAAAAGCAGGATTATGTGTGTATTAAGCTTGTGAGCGAGTAAAACGGTGGTAGGGAGGTGCTCGTTGAGGAGATTACTGGATTCTGAAGCCTGTAAGCGCTCCGATGCTTTTATCTTCAAATGAAATGTCTTCATTTAGCCGCCAAACTCACAGCAGTATTTAGATGTTTTAGCATTTTTGCAGCTTCTCGTTACACTCTGTGTCACCGAGGCTGCGCTCTGGGTTAAAACGGACACTGTCTTATTTTTGAGGTGGTTGGTTATTTCTTACAAGCTTCTTGAATTCATAACAGCCTCAGATCTTTCTGTGTTTTCAGTGATGATGTTTGAAATCTGCGTAGACTCTGACAGCTGCACAAATAAAGTGTTGCAGATGGTAAACATGTTTTTATTTTCCTGCTGGTCAGGCTCACAACAGAGCTGCTGCAGATCTGTCTTCATCATTGAAAATATTGTCTTGCAGCTTTGAATGAAAAGTGGTTTTGTGTTTAGCTGAAAATTATGAATAATTTTTTGGGTTTTTTGCGCAGTGAAAATGTAAAATAGAATAAAAAAAACAAACAAAATGGAGAAAAATCTGACAAAATAAACAGCAAATGCACAGTGAGATATTGATTGTTTTACTCAGAAACCCGGTGGCCATCGCAGGAAACAATCTGGAGCGTGGAGGCAGATTTTTAGGGGTTACTTTCCTTAATAGTGACCTGTTTTCTGGTTAATAAAAGATCAATCAGTCACTTTATGTGAATTTTCACTTTGTTCACTTTTTTCTTGTGTCTAATCAGAGAAACACAACCTACAGTTGGCTTTGTTGGAGTCAGACTCACCCTTTTGCTTGTCCGTTTGTTACCTCAGGCAAAGATTTCCATGTAATCAACGGGCAAAAGGGAATTTGACTGTGGAGGAGGTTCATATGAAATGCAGACAGACCAGCTGCTGCATGAAAGAGAAAGAAAAAGAGGTTTTGGAGCTTTGCATGAGATTAGGTTTTAGCTTTGACGCTGAGATTGGTCCGTTTCTTTCAGTTTCCGCTGCCTTCTTTGGCATCTTTAGTATTCTAGGTTGCCTTTGGTGCTGTAGGTGAGAATCAGCAACAGCTTTGAGAATTGGTTCAGAGTGAGGGGGTGGGAGGAGCAGGAAAAAACATTAGATAACACGGCACACTCAAGAAAACCTTTTACTTTATGCATCCACGCATCAGTCTGCTCAGCACACAGGGTCACCTGGTTTACTCTTCACTGGTTTGCTTGACCGGAAAAGGGTGGCTTGCCACCTCCGGGTCGGGGGAGAGGTCCTACCTCAAGTGGAGGAGTTTAAGTATCTCGGGGTCTTGTTCACGAGTGAGGGTAGGAGGGATCGGGAGATCGACAGGCGGATTGGTTCGGCGTCTGCAGTGATGCGGACGCTGAGCCGATCTGTCGTGGGGAAGAGGGAGCTGAGCCAGAAAGCCAGGCTCTCGATTTACCGGTCGATCTACGTCCCAATCCTCACCTATGGTCATGAGCTTTGGGTAATGACCGAAAAGAACGAGATCGCGGATACAAGCGGCCGAAATGAGTTTCCTCCGTAGGGTGGCCGGGCTCAGCCTTAGAGATAGGGTGAGGAGCTCGGACATTCGGGAGGGACTCGGAGTAGAACCGCTGCTCCTCCGGATCGAAAGGAGCCAGTTGAGGTGGTTTGGGCATCTGGTCAGGATGCCTCCTGGACGCCTCCCCGGGGAGGTGTTTCGGGCATGTCCTGCCGGCAGAAGGCCCCCGGGTCGACCCAGGACACGTTGGAGAAGTTACATCTCCAATCTGGTCCGGGAACGCCTTGGGGTCCTGCCGGAGGAGCTGGTGGACAAGGCCGGGGAGAGGACGGCCTGGAGCTCCCTAGTTGGGATGCTGCCCCCGCGACCCGGACCCGGATAAGCGGAGGAAGACGACGACGACGACGACGACTGGTTTGCTTCAGCAAAGGCAACAGAAACATTTATAAAACACACCAGGAATGTTGCTGTACGTCTTTTAAAAATTGTAAAATGTATTTTTTGCTACACAATTGCACGTGAGATGCACCATTCTCAGTTGAAGCCGAGATGTTGCTGCAGGTGTAGGTGGTGCAAAAGTTGACAAAGTAAAGGTGTTATAAACGTAAAACACTCACCCTTAGTGAGGAGTCGAGATGCCTCCACATATCGCTCCCATGGAAATCTGCTACCTTACTTGTGTTCATCTTCATGAAAACACACCTGCTTTATAATCTGGCGGGGCAATTAACTGACTCACACACAGCTTCCTGCGCTCTCTGCCCACCCGCTGGGTGTGCTTGATGTCGGTTCAGCTCTTGCAGGTAATGTGGCAGATCACACCTGCCCATTGTTCTCTTCTCACAGGCAGAAGCTTTAGCAGATGTAATCCAAGAATTTGACATTATGCCCAATCCGAGTGAGAGTGCGTCCATGCATGAGGAAGTGTTGATGTCTGGGATGCAGGAAGTGGTTTGCTAGCATCAAGGAGGAGCATCTGCCTTCGCTGTGTTGACTAAATGTAGCAACGACTGGTTTTGTGCTCAGATGTGAGGCTTTAAAAGCAAAATCGTTGTTTTTACCGACTGCATTGCTTTTAAAGGAGGTAGAAGAAATTAAAAGACTTTTGTTGATCACCTTTTATTGACGACTAAAATCAAAGTTGTTGCTGTTTGTCAGCATTTAAAAAATAACCTTTTTGAACACCGTGCATGATTATGGAGGCAAGGCTGAAGCACAGCAGAGAGGGACGGACCCACCTTCCTAAAGACAACTTTTTCTACGTTAGACTTTTCAGCATCTGTTGTTACAACAAGAAAAGCTTTTGGTGGAAGAAAGCTTTAGGAGTTTTTGAAAATTCAGCAAAATAAATTTTACTAATATTTTTCACGAGCTTCTTTCCATGCTGGTGTTTTTTATTTTTTTCATTTCTACTTATTTTCTACCAAACTTTTTTCATTTTTATTTTTTGCTTTTTTTTATCTTAATTTTAGTTTTATTGTTTTAGCATAATTTATTTTTCATTTTTTATTTGATGATTAAAAAAGTAGAATTTTATCTTTTTAATGTTTTATTTCATCTTTTTACCTTTTTTAGTTTATTTGTTCATTTTTAAATGTTGTATTTTAACTTTAAAACATTTTTAGGCAATAAAAAACCTTCTTTTCCTCCTCCTCCTCCTCCTCCTCCTCCAGAGTGCGGGTGTATTCAGCGTCCCAGCTGCAGGCTAAGTCCTGGCGTCCATGTGTGCAAATTCTTGCCACAAGCAAAACAAACAACAGAAGTAATCGGTAAACTGAGGGTAAAAGCTTCACCAAAGCAGCAAAATAAATAAATAAAAATTGGAATATAATTTGGAAAAGTAAATACAAATAAATTCAGCTTTAATCAGTTATGTGTTTCCTTTATTTATTCTGACATTGGTTCTTTTATTTATTGATTCCTTTTTAGATTTATTCTTTGTGGAAGTGCTTTTATTTCTTCTTTAGAAAAAGCGAAATGGGACTTTTATCATCCAGTAGAAGATTATGTATGCCACTGGTTTCCTCAAACACTTTAAAGGACAGTTTTATCTTTCTGTTTTCCACAGATTGCCTTTTTGTGACTGATTATTTCACCCGCACGCCTCGTAAGCTGAACGCTTTCAACTCCTTCGCCAGTGTGGAACTGTTCCACTTCAATGTGCCTGAAGACACAATGATGGCCGTCTGGAACCTCATCACCTTCAAGGAGCAAGGGGGCACGTTTGGGGACAGCTGCCCGAACCGCAACGTGACAGTGTAAGACCATGGTTTAGTCTTCTGATGGGAATAATAATAATAATAATAATAATAATTATTATTATTATTATTATTATTATTATTCTCCTACCAGGGGAGTGGATGGAGGGGGGCTTTAGGGGGCTGATTAACTGCAGGACACATAAAGCAGTTACTATAAACATTAAAAGATTTAATGTTCTAATTTATTAGACATAATTAATCAGAATATTTAAAGTCATTTCTATGTCTTTAGCTGTTCCACATAAGCACCATATGTTTTCACACCATTAAAGGTGCAATAAGTAATAATTTTACAGTGGAAAAAAATCACATTACAGCCAATTGTCTCAGTCATGATGGAAGGAAGGTTAGGTTGATGCTGATTTCCTTCTCACCTGGCTATTTGCCTTTAAAAAGGCAGATGAGGGATGTAGTCTTTGTGTACAATTTGTCCCATCTCCATACTTCCTGGTTCTAGAGCCAGTCATATGTGAGCCCGCAAAGCTGCCACGCTTGCACCGGAATTTGTAATTCGACACCGATAGGCAAAAAGGAGCAGTATGGGGAGAAAAAGTTTCAAAAGATCTGTGCGTGTGTGTCTACATTTGTGTGTGTGTGTAGGTGTGCATCTAGATTTGTGTGTGTGTAACTCTTGATTCGTGTGTAACTTCAGTTCTTACACATATTAATCATTGAATACACAAATAAAATCACCTGGTACAAACGGACAAAACTACAGTACACACAGATCAGTTTACAAGTACAAAAATCCTTTTGAGGCTGTTTTCTCACCTGACTGATTTGTGCGTGCATGGTGCGTTTGAATGCTGGGTGGACGCTGGGAAATTAGAATTTCCTTTGGAATTGGTCTAAACTTGTGTTGACGGGACACATATGTTTTTCTGTGGGAAAATATAGTAACTCAGGATCCTGTAGTTATAAAAGATGGACCTACATTTAATTTTTAATCATCTAAAACTGTTTATTTATACATGTGTGTGTTTGTGAGCCATGAAAATGTAGTGAAAGGGTTATAAGAAATGACCAAATAAACAATAATGAACAAGGACCTGCTTCTAGACCTGCAGAAAGAGAGAAGAAAAAAAAGCAAAAAAAAAAAAAAACATGGGACACACAACAATACAACAGGAGCAAGCTATCACTGCGTCAACTTGATGAATAAATATAAAATCAACATTGTTTAACTGAACAATCACACGATAATAAATCACAGTGCATTAAGTGCCCACCATAGTCTTAAGACCTGTGTTGAACGTGCCCAAGTCCATACTTATGAGAGCACCATGAGAGCACCTGTGTGTGTACACGCGCTTGTTTATGTAAGGTTTCTCTATAGGAGCGTCCAATAGAGTGTGAGGGGCCACAGATCTGCCCCCTAAAGATGTGCATGAGACGGAGGTAGCTCCAAGTCCCAGAGATCCAGGAGCTGCCCCAGAGCACAGGAACTCCAGGGAGACTGCGACCAGAAAAGCCCCCGCCCCCCTCAAGAGGCGCAGAGGATCACCCCGGAGGGCCACAACCAGCAGGTGGCAGAGTCCCGGGAGATATCAGCGGCAAACACACAGGCCCGCCCGTAGCCCCCCATCCCCTAGCCGGCTGAGCCCGGGACCCAATGACCTGGGACCTAGGGGCGACCACCCCCGCTGGGGACCCAGCAGAGCCCAGGGACCCAGACCCCACCAGGTAGCCACCGGGATTGATCAGGCAGACGCCACAAATCTTAAACTCCCTGACCCGGGAGCCACGACCCAGGCAGACTAAGGCACCGCACTCCACACCAGGTGTGGCAGGGGGAGGGGAGACGAGGATCTATATCATCAAAAGAAGTTCCAGGAGAAGGGAGGAGTCAAAGGCCCCACCTGACATATACAGTCATACACAAACACAGTCACACACTCCCTCCCTCATGCTCACACATGCACATACAACCAAAGACTTACAAAAATGCACGCCGGACACCCACTCATGCTCCCCATACACACCCTATTCACTCTGGTCCCGGTACTGCTGCACATGGGGTACAACCATCACCGGTTACCGGAGTTTAATCCTTTCTGCTGGGGTGCTGATGAGCAGGCTCCCCCGCCCAACGCTGAGCACAGCAACCCATCACCCCAGACCCCAACCAGACGACCAGATCCCCCTCCTAGCCTCCAGCCTCAGGAAGCCAAGCGATAACAGAGGTGTGCTAAGACCCCTAGTCTCCCTCCGCCTGCTCCAATATGGTGTTAGTGTGTGTTGATGAGGTGTACTCCATGGTTGTGGTGAGCGGGCAGTGTGGGCATTGTCTGGCCTATGCCAGCTGATGACACCTCACCGCCCCACTTGCACCTACAGCCCTCAGTGTCTAATTGCAGTTTAAAATTGGAAGTGGGCACCGGCACTTGGGATGAGGCTGAAAGATCCCCCTGCCAAATGCCGTTGGATGTGCTCACTCCCAAGGCCCCAAGTGTGTGTTTGCATGGAATGTCGTTGGTGGAAGTGTTTAAGGTGCAAATAAAATTGGGGGGCAGGTTGCCACAAGAATGCGGGAATGGGGTCCATACCCACACTCCCTGACTTGTCCACCCCCCAAGGTCCTATGTGCATGTTTGTGTGATGATGTGAGGGAGCAGGAGGAGATAAATGTGCGGGTATCGGGAGGAATGGCTGGTTGGGCTTAGCCCTCCAGGGAGCCAGCTCCCCCACTGGCCCCAATAGGCACCTCTGTTGTCAAAATGCCACCCAGAACATGGAGACCCCAGCCCATCCTGCCAGGGCCCAAAGCAGCAGCATAACAGAGCCTCACAGAGTCCGAGGGCACCAACCCAGCCCCACCCCAGCAGAATATCTACGCCCATCCCTGTATTTGCACAACTTCCGGATTATAAAAGACATAGGACATCCAGGTAAGGTTCCTGGATTTTTTTAAGGAAGATCTTTGCTTCCTCGGGTGTTTTAAAGGAAAGCGTTTTACCCTTGTGAGTCACCAACAAGGTTGCGGAATGAGTCACACCATGTCGGATCCCCAGCTTTCTTAGTTCTGCAGGAATCGGGTCAAACTTCTTCCTCATCTGGGCAATCCCGGCAGCCAAGTCCGGATAAGAAGGAACCTGTTGATCCTTGTAGTATATATCCTTTTCCCCCTCGCAGCGATAAGGACTACCTGCTTGTCTTTGTAGTTGCTAAACTTTCTCATCAAAGTTCTCGGTCGCGATGTGTTGTCGTTCTTCTGGCCTATCCTGTGTGCTCTCTCCAGAACAACAGAGGACTGCAGCCTCTCATTCTCCATTGCTTCGGGTATCCACTTCTCCAAGAAGGCACGTATGTCTCCTAGTTCCGTGCCCTCCGGTAGGTTCACGAGCCGTAGGTCATTCATACGTGACCTGGTTTCTAGATCCACAAATTTGTTCTCCATGGTTTTGTTTTTAGCTACTAACTTTAGCTTGCAGGCTAACCAGCTCTGCCTCTGCACTGGAGATGCGTTCCTCAGCTCACGACATACGTTCTCCACAGTCGTTAATATCTTTCTTCACCTCTTCTAATGTTGTTGCCATATTATCCAGTCTTGACGCGAAGCCCGTTTCCATTGAGTTTATCTTTGCCAGTATCTGGTCAGCTTTGGTACCCATGGGTTCATTTTCATTGTCAGTCTGCGTAGCCATGGCCTGGTTAGCATTAGCTGCTTCACCTCGAAGACTACAGTCAAGCAGGCTTGCTTGTTTAGCTGTTCCTCCTTTTCCCTTCTGTGACTTAATCGCATTAGGAGTTGTTCCACAAAATCTTCCTGATTTTTAAGTTATTAGTGAGCAGGAGAACATTAGAACCAACCTGGCAGCAGAGCAAAAAAAAATAAAAATAAAACACGTCCTCCTGCATGGCCGCCATAACCGGATCCCTCAGCTTTTGTTTTTTATTATAAACTTTTACTTTAAAGGAAATTTTTGTATCTGTCCTGAAAATAAAGTCATACAAATAAAAATACAACATTTATCATTTTATGTTCAGATTAACAGTAAATAATTAAACACCAATTTTTTTAAATAGGTAAACACATTAGGGAAAATCTGTTTAATTAAAATCAATAAAATTTAATTCAGCATTAACTAATGATGATTAATTAATCAAGGTCGGATCTCCAGCTTTAATTAATTAATTATTAATTAATTAATTGATTAAATGATTAAATAATTAAATAAAATGAATAAAAATTAATGCTGCATTAAGTTTTACTATTTGGCCATGATCTGTTTTACTTTGTTGTTATAGTTCAAATAAATAAATAAATAAATTAATTAATTAATTAATTAATTATTGCTGCATTAAGTTAAATAAATAAATTAATTATGATTAATTAATTAATTAATGTCTGATCCCCAGCTTTAATTAATTAATAAATTAATTAGAACTATGACAACAAAGTAAATAAATAATCATGGTCATGGAAACGGAATCTGCCATCATCTTCCTTTGATGATGTCATAAAGGGCACAGACCTATATAAAGGGCAAACACAAAGCAGACACACAGACAGCTTCATTTGCACACTGGTTTTAGACCTGAGCACACCTACGATGGCTACTGGTGGACCACACGTGGACAACATGGAGTTATTTTCAGACATACTTAAAGCTGAATTTGAACAAAAGAATGAGCTTTTACAAAGAGACTTACGAGATCTGGAAGCCAGAAAACTAGTTTTTGGTGACCAGAAACACGACTTTCAACAAACGGTGGATGCGTTTGAGAAAAAGATAGCTCGCATCAGGGAAAGTCTCCAGGAGGAAAAAGAGAAACTGGAAACAAAAACACAGGATCTGGAGAAACGAGAACGTCACTTTGAGGATCAACAAAAGAAACTAACGAATCACGTTGATGAACTAAAGACGAACTGTCAGAAAGGAAGAGATCATTTAGTTTCAGCTCAGTTACTCGACGAACACAGAGTACAGATTGAGCTGGAAAACAGGGAACTGCAGAAACAAAGACAAGAAATTCAAGATGAGTGGAATAAGATT